AAAGTTTGGTGCGAGTATAAGACATGCCGGAGACAAGTCCTCAAAAATATAGGGGGGGGGGCGTATTAGCCAGCCGATCATGACGAGAGCTAACACGCGCCCGGATGGGTTCAATTTGAAGCCCCGAAGGTTTTTCGAAGATGATTTTCGAACGGCGCATGGCAGCCACGCCAAACTTTGCACGGCCGTAGGCAATTAGAGAGCTGTAGGCAATTGGATAGCGGGCCTTTTGGCATAAAAATAGATGTACCTTGTTGGGTCACTGACCTCTGACAGGTCAGTCGGACCAGCGCTCTCAGCGAAGGCCAGTGCTGGGGAATAGTTCGGTCCGGTGCGACGACGGAATCTCAGACGGAAGATAGCTCCTGAGACCATAAACCAACTGAATGTAGAACAACAACAAGTTCCATGGACCTAGGGTCAGATATGAAGGTCAAGCCGACGTCAGAACTGTTTCGCTTTCTTACTCGAGGGCCTGTTTTACGAGATGACTTCTGGTGCTCATTTCCAAAAAAAAAATCAATGACATCGACCGCAACAGATATGTTCCATGGAGTTTTTAAATGTGAAAGCAGGTCATTGACCTACATCAACACCGTATTTTTAGGAATATATCGTCTACCCGAATCACTGACGCTTGCTTGAGTGGCAAAATAGGAGCAATGAGGTATTTGGTGACCTTAATCTTCTTAAGATCAAACAAGGTCACTGACCTTAACTGAACGCCATTGACATTTTGCTTCGAATAGGTACCTAGGTTCACAACGGGTTGCATGAGGAGGTCTGGACACTTTGGACGGCAATCTGGAGTTTAACTTTGTTTGATCTTACTTGACCCAAAGGTCATGGCCTAGGAGCCTCATAATATTGAAATGGTGAGTTCACGTACAGGCTACCCCACTCTGTCAGTTGGATCTCTCTAGCCATCTTATTTTTCGAGATCTCAGGTCAAATTGACGTCTACCCGAGCGAGGGGTGTTCAACCGGTCACCCGGGCGCGTGTTAACGCGCCGTTGGCTTCAAAGAATGTGGCGAGAGGAGCGTGTGTATGACTGAAAGCGGCAGCCATTGAGCCTCAGTATGACTCAGGTAGTCTTGCCCAATGCCGAATATGAGTTATTATTAAACATTTCATCGATGGTGGGGTTCCACGACTGGCTACTATTCCTGAAGTCATTTACGTTGAAATTCTTACGGCGCTTGTCGCGTTGAAGCGAACGAATAACGCGGCGTCCGCGCAGTGGGCTCGGGAGCTTGCGGAAAATCGCATGATGACCACGCAGTCTGTCCTCCCCTAAAGATCAAATGTCCCCAGCTCGGGAAATATCTCCAGGGACCTTCCATCAAGTGGCCAACTGCTCCTACCACCGCACCGACAGTGCGAAGAGCACACACAATGGGAACGTGACGAAAGACTGCACTGCTGCCTGCGTAGATACAGGATGGAACATGATCACCCCCGTGTGCATAGCCATGAAGGTGCCTTAAACATCACAGCTGAACTACAGCAGCACAATCGCCACGAATTGGTGTACATTCCTTTGATCGCGTGAGAACGAGTTGCTGCCTCGTACCTTCGCTTGTCGTGCAAAGAAACCAGGGCGGGCCCTCCACCGCACTCTCGGGCCGCAATGGTACGTGCGCCAGGGCAGTTCTCATTGCCCAACAAGGGCTAACTTGGCTTCGTGGTATCGACCGCAGCAGGACTCCCGAGAGACGTCCAGGGGGCACCGAGGGCGCGAGCTCGAATGGCGACCTGCTGTTACCCGAGTATTCGGCGCTGTGGCGAACGAAGGGATAGGTCGTCTTCTCGCCGGGCCAGGCAGATCCGACCCCGATGGTCCCGCGCTGTGAAGAGTGGAGGGTTGGTTGTCTACTCGTTGGGCCGAGCACATCAGGCCCCGGTGTCGGGGAGCTGGGCGTTATTTCACCGTTCCACGGTAGTTCGCAGGCGGTAGCGGATTAATCAGTGTGTGGCTGCTGGTTTCACCGGACTCACCGCCCGCCGCATCCGCTGGCAATCCCAAGGCCGGCAAACGCGCCGAAAGCCCGGGATTCGCTCAAGTATCTCCGGTACGTGTCAGCCTTTGTGCCAAGGAGGAAACAAAAACAGTTCTGACCTTGAGAATCGGCCGGGTCGCCGAACGCACCCATCAGTTTCGCTACCAGTCCCGTTGAACCGGCTAAGCTCCGCTACCCGACAGCTCAAGCGAATGGGAGGAACCACAATTGTACAGCTGCGGCCATCACAAGGTCACTGCAGTTAATCCTCCGCCTCGGACACAGCGTAGCTTCGCCTCAGCGCCATGTGACGGACACATTCCGCTGCGTTCCGCCGCGGCGACGTAAAAACTGAAATACATCACCTGTCGGGAACGAAAAACGAAAACACCGAACCGAGAAACGCCTGTTGACCGCGGTGGGACAGCGCGTTGGCGGTGCTAGAACGAGCGTCCCCATGGTCCACTTCCCACCAAGGAAAGTAAAGAGATTGGACATACGGAAGGCGATGGCACGTGGCCCTATCTAACCCATCAAGCCGCCTACATCAACGGGAGCGTCACGTGGAATTTGAGAGGCATTTCTAGCTGCAATGGGTGTAGCATGAGTCATAAAGCTGCGAGCCAGGTTAGAGGATACGCATGTTTATTGAATCAAAATAAAGTGTTGGAAAAAGGTTCCGTGTGCTGAACAAACCATTGTTCCCATGCTTACGATTTGAGTTTTGGGTTCACCAGAAAATTAATTTTGTCCGGCATAAGCAGAATGTGCTGATTGCAAAAATGCAGGTTTTTGACACAGCAAACCACGAACACCGGAAACATGACCACTTTTGCGCTTTGCCTTCCGCTGTATCGCTATGCATTAAACGGTTCCAGTATGGCAGCGTTACCACGAGTAGCTACTCGCCAACTTTAAGCACAACGTGGGTCCAAAATATCCCATCATTGTCACAGCGTGAGTAGCCAAGAGCAAAAAGGGATGTGCCATATGCATCGGGATGGTATTCAGCACAGCTTGGACTATTTAAATCCCCAAAATGCACGTCCGGTGGCATGACTCCTTCAAGTGCTCAGTTCGTACGTCTTTGGTAGAATTAGTGCAACATGCATATTTCAAATGGCAATTGCGATATATTTAACCCGACTAGAAGGCGTTAGACGAATGAGGCATGACGGTACCAATGGTTATATATATATATATATATATATATATATATATATATATATATATGTATATATACAGGTTATAGCTGAGTGCTTGGTTGAAAACCACCGGGGACGTTTTCACGCCAGTGGAACAGCTAACACCGATGCAGTCGCCAGGAATGTATCGGGATGCTTCGATTGCTTCGACCAGTGTGGTTTCCGTCGCTGTTGAGCCGTTTCTGACCCCAGCTGCAGTGAACTAATCCGCACATGGCTACAGCGCATGACTCTCATGCCAGACGTGCTGTTTCCCCGTCACGATCGGCCAATGTCAGCGAGGCCTTGCCGGCGGAGGCCGCCTCGAGATGAGGCGCTCCTTCTGCCCGGTCGCCTGGCAACGGTTCTGAGGGCCTCTTTCGTGCCAACCCCTGCTCCAAGGCGGAGCGAGCGGAGGCCTTGGGTCGGCGCCGAGCGGCGGCCGGGGGTCAGGGGTCGCGCCCCTCAGGGTCACGCGTGGGATGACATGACAGGAAACAACAACAAGGGTGTTGGAGCTAGTCTCAAGAGTCAGGAAGTCATGCGCCGTGCACCGCTGTCAGACGGCAGAGAAAGCCGTGGCGCACCTCTAATTGCGGCGAAGCACGGCTCCAACGGCTGACCCCAGCGGCCAAAAGGCGGGGCTGCCTTCCATGCCATGAGGCGGAAAGGTGAGCTGGAGCATTACCAAACAGCCAAGTGTATTCGAGCGCCGCAGTCGACGATAATAATGGTCTCAAATACGTTTACGAGATAGCAAATTGTCTAGCTATGTGTTCATGGGTCACGGAGGTACTCCTAATTAATCACCATTGTTTACGGCGCACGAACTGCATCCCAACGGACTAAGAGCCTAAGCCATTTGGCGATAGGGCTCCCTTTGGGAACGGTGATAATGAACTAATGATAATGATACAACTGATAATGACTTTGGTCAAAACTTTCAGTTGATGCGTTTCTGCGATCAGCACCTGCACTGAGCAGTGCTTGTTGTGCGTGCTCTGACCCCACCATCCGATCGCCGATGTCAGTGTCAACAGTATAAGGCTTCAATGTCCAACAGGGCCCGTCCTGCTGCATGAAGTCACCTGACCTTCAGCACCGCCGCCGTCATCTTCTGCGGGTCATCCTGGTCAGCGGCAAATGGCGAGTACTAAGACCGACTAGAACCCTCACCGCCACAGGTGGATAAATCGAAATGCAGACGCTCTTACTAACCGAGCTATCGGAATTGATTACGCCACTCGTCTTCGGAGCCACAGCTGGCTTTTTTCGTTTTCACCCGATGGTGACGGACAGAAGGTTAAACATCTACGCGATGCACTACTAATCCAACTCCGATCCCCCACCACTACGCACGCTTACGGAGTGAAGGCCGTTCTTCCCACGGAATATTGGGACAAGTTAAGTTTTCTGAGTGGGTGTGATAAAATTTGCGAGTCAGAATGTGCTATCAACTACCATTACACTTTTCGACAAGTCGCGAAGACCCCATACCGCTTCAAGCATTGTTTATCTTCAGAATGTGTGGTACTCAGTCCGTGGTCACGCACACTAGCAATGACAGCCGACAGTGGACAGAACATCGTCCGACGTTACGCAGGGAAGTTGTAAGCGGGGAGGGAGCGGGCTGAACCATCGCATATGGAAAGTTTTGACATCCAGTTTGCTTGGGTTTACACGGGAAAAAAAGTATCGAACCCGTTTTTTCCTCTCCTCTCCTATTCCCCTTCCATCTCCGCGGAACGCACACTGAACGAATGAATGAATGAGTAAGTGAACGACCGACAGACGTTGACGAATACCGGCACTTACTTGTCATCACGGACGTCGGGTAGCGTTCTGTGAACCGAGACAAGGTCGCTGACGTACTGGTTGAACGCGTTATTGGTCCAGCCCTGCTCCACGAGGCGTCGCTGCTCCTCTGTGAGGTTGGCCGGCATCAACACTGGCTTGCCCAGCTCCCCGGGGCCATTGGGCTCCTGCGGAGGAAGCAGGAAGTGCCGTTGCTCGGACCGCTGGCCTGACGACGGCGCCGCAGTCTTGGGGCGGCGCGCCACCACGTCCGCCACGGCCGGGTCCCATCGAGGGGCTGGCTCGAAGGCCTTCTCCGCACTGCGATCGAGTATATTGTTGATCTCCCGGCGCGCGTTACGGAGGGCTCCGGCACGCGGGCCTGCATCAGGTGGGTCGGGCTTGGAGTCACGCCGGTCCACCAGGAAGAAGACGAAGAACACCATCCATATCACCGGGACAGCCACCAGCGCCTTCGTGGCCAGCGAGCGTCTTCGGCACAACCCCATGGCCGCGTTTGATCAGCACCCTTTACGCTTACTGGTGCCCTGAAAATGTGACACCTGATTAAACATGCGCTACGCATAAGCCCACGTGACACGTACACACCGACATCATGACACGCACATAATCACGCAACGGGCATGCCCTCATAAAACGTGACATATGCATACATACGTGACACGTGGCATGTACATACACGATATATGGCATGTGCATACATACCTATTTTGAGATGGTGAAACAATTCCAGGTTATGGTTCACGCGCTCGTGTATGGTGCACTGGAGCACGTATAAGCTTATCGCAGTATTAAATAAAACACGTGCATCATACGAACTAATGATTCAAAAGTTTTATCAGCAAAGCTATGTCGCACCTATATGGCTACGGGGCAGGCATCCCAAATCAGTCCTGATAGCCACATTGACCTAACGCGGAGCAAGCACTGACTAAACAGCAAGCAATAGATATTTTTGACGCGCACGTGACAACATCGCAAGACGGACCTCGTTTCAGGGAAACGGGGTGAAGAACAACGCCTGGGTGGCTTCCGTACAGTGGCGACGGCGTGTTGGAGATGCAAACACAGCAGGTCCTCAGCGACGTATAGGACATTTACTCCCGTTTGAGGCGTTCAACATATCCTTCCAAACCTGGAGGAAGACTAAATATCGATACAGCCGTGGTTTCGCCACTCTTTTCATAGACACATATGACACACTCCTTATTCTTTCTAGCTTGAGCGAATCCCAACGTAAACAAATGCTAGCGATGTAACCAGCCCAGCATACTCTAAACACGCAGTGTTTAGAATCGGGCTGCACATGGCGCGAGAAAAGGCGTGAGAGAATGAAGTCCACTGGTGCTATTCGTTCATCTGCGCCACTTAAGGCAAAGTTCATCTTGCCACTACTAGTGAGCACACTTGGGAAGGTTGTGTCAATCGAAATCCCCACGGCCCCAAAACAAAAACTAGGCATGTTTCGTATGCTATACATTTTTAGCCAAAGGGGCTATGCCTTCCCCTGCCGCGATCCGCGGTGAGATCTTTCTCACCCAGCTGCCTTCTGCGCGCAGTTAGAAACTTCGATCAAGATGGCCTTTTAGTGTTGAAGTTTACAGAATAGCAGACTAATGCTCTTATTGAAAACTGTCTGAATCTTGTGAACGCCAAAGATCACCTACACTCTGTAATGCATGTCACCCATGTGTGTTTCTGTTTGCTGTGAGGAGTTTTGCTGTGAAGCGTTAAACAGCACTGTGCGTCGAGAAGGCTGTACAAGATCCCAGTCCCATTACCGAATCTCGTTTTGATGTAGTTTAATGGTATGGTTTTGTCTCCGTGAATTGCAATGATTCGACAAAGTTTCATTCACATAACGAGAAGGTCGTGATGCCGTCGTTGTATCAGTTTCTCCGAACGCTACGGTAATTTGCCGGATCGCCACTGGGATGTGCTTAATGCTAGTTTGAAAATTACTGGACAGAACCGGCCTGTGTACTGACGGCTGTATTCTTGAGCATCACAGCCGACATTGAACGTTGAGTTTGTTTAGTCGGTTTGTCTGAAATGTCACATACTTATACTTCAAGCTGTCATATCACCATTATTGAGTTTGATTTGTCATGACTACAGCCGTCTGGGCATGTAGCGTCTTGTTACCAAGACATGCAACTGCACTGGTATAGAACAGAAAGGACAGTGCTCCGCCATGATGGGGATACAACGTTGTCGCAAAGCGCTTGTCCATGGCGTATCAAATGAGAACTTTGTGATTTCTCTGCTGCCGTTTTGCTATCACGTATCACGTATGTTTTGCCGCCGGCCCGCGACTTTTTCTGGCATAAAACAACATAGCTTGTTTCCGTTCTTCTTTTTACGCGGCTACCTCAAAAACCTTCAGGTGGACATTTGTTACCGCACTTGTAAATTGTGCACTAATACCGCACAATTTACTCAATCTGTAAAACAATTGATAACGAGGCCTGCCACGTGCCTCGTGGGCCACTATGTCAATATATACCCGGCTGCACAATGGAGACGGCGAAAAAGGAGGCCGGCTGACTGGGTTATCAGCCGGGAAATTTTAAAGAAAGTAACCAAGTTCACAACTCCGGATCAGGTCTATACTCAGGGTCATGCCTTGTAAGTACCCCGACCTGAATGCCGTTCATCGTATAAAGCAACCATAATGATGCCACGAGTTCCTCAGTTGGACTCAAAACCATCCAGTAAGTCCCGCCACCCATTTTTACTTATCAATGGAACTTCAGCTAAACCAGACCACCTGGGTATTCTTCAAGTACTTCACCTTTTTTAGAAGAAGAAAATCTCCCCCGCGAGCGTTTTACGCGCAGTGCGGCACGGGCTCAACCAGCTCGCGTTAGCAGCATTGCCCAACTTTGAAATCATACAATCCAAACGACATCTTTAGCACCAAAAATAAAGAGCAGGCAATTAACATTATTCAGTACGTCGTTTCGACCACTGCTTCTCACAATGCTCGCATGATGGCCTATCATCTTCAAGAAATAACCATCTGATAATATAATAATTTCGGCCACAAACAGGTCATATGATTTTTAACACGCAGACGGCCGACGATTTATAGCATGTACTAAAAGGGCAACATAAGCACCAAATTACGTACATTCGAGCAATCAAGAAAAGTATCCCAGTTCTTCACATTTGTGTCTCGGATTGATATTTCCAAACAGACAGCACAGAGAAAAACCTAACAATGTCGGCGGAACTGAAGCATTTCCAGCAGTCTTAAAAAACGGACCAAGCCACGGGAACCAAACACCGAAGCCAAGCCAACGTTTTCGGTACGGTACATTGGCGTCTACTAGCGCAGTGCATCTCATACACGAGTCCGGATAATGTGATTCACACTTATTAGGACCAAACACATCGTGACGACATTGTCGCTTAAACTACAACACTTGGGTTCAATTAATATGACTACTCCGTTGCCGTGACATGCTGCCATCATGTCGCGCAGAGGGACTGTCGTAGCACCCTCTTAAAGAAGTGCACCTCTTGTACAATTCCAACGAGCAAGGCTTGAAATCGCTCTGACATCCAGAGACATACTCTGCCGAGATAATATGCCAACAGCCACGCTAAGGAAACGGATCAAGCCTCGGGAAACGAAGACTGAAGCAAGGCCAGCGTTTTCGGTACGGTACATATACGTCTATTAGCGTAGTGCACCTAACACACGAGTCCGTATCATGCGATTCACACTTATTAGGACCAAGCACATCTTGCTGTCGATGTCGGTGGATATGCCAGACCACGGTCCGATGAATAAGACTCATGCATTGCCGTCAGATGTTGCCATCATTGGCGGACGGACCGCAGTAGCACCCTCTTCAAGTAGTACACCTCTGGTATAATTCCAATCGGCGGGACCTAAAAACCGCTCTGACATCCAAAGAAATTCTCTATCGAGGTAATATGACAATAAATATCTTAAGGATACGGACCAAGCCTTGGAACCGAAGACTAAAGCCAGGCCAGCGTTTTCGGTACGGCACATATGCGTCTATTAGCGCAGTGTACCTCATGCACGAGTCCGGATCAGGCGATTCACACTTATGGAAAATAATCACATCGTGCTGACAATGACGGTGGAACTGCGAGACTTCGGTCCGATGAATAAGACTGATATATATATATATATATATATATATATATATATATATGATTATATATATATTATATATATATATATATATATATATAAAGCTCAGCGTACCTAATACATACAGCGTACCGTACAGAGAGTACCTCCTCGGTAGAAAATGTTATTGGATGCCGCAGCCGTTTTGAGATCTCGACAGCTGGAACAATGCAAGAGGTACACAACTTTAAGAGGCTGCTTCTACGGCCAGTCCGCGCAACGTGATGGCGATATCTCACGGCAATGCATGGGTGTTGTTCATTGAACCGAAGTGTTGTATCTCAACGGACACTGTCTGCACGACGGCTGGCTGGCTGGCTGGTGGCTGTTGGCATATTATCTCGGCAGAGTACGTCTTTGGATGTCAGAGCGGTTTCTAGGTCTCGCCAATTGGAATTATACAAGAGGTGTACTACTTGAAGAGGGTGCTACTGCAGTCCGTCCGCCAATGATGGCAACATCTGACGGCAATGCATGAGTCTTATTCATCGGACCGTGGTCTGGCATATCCACCGACATCGTCAGCAAGATGTGTTTGGTCCTAATAAGTGTGAATCGCATGATCCGGACTCGTGTGTGAGGTGCACTACGCTAACAGACGTATATGTACCGTACCGAAAACGCTGGCCTTGCTTCAGACTTCGCTTCCCGGGGCTTGGTCCGTTTTCTTAGGGTGGCTGTTGGCATATTATCTCGGCAGAGTATGTCTCTGGATGTCAGAGCGATTTCAGGCCTTGCTCATTGGAATTGTACAAGAGGTGCACTTCTTTAAGAGGGTGCTACGACAGTCCCTCTGCACGACATGATGGCGGCATCTCACGGCAATGCATGAGTCTTATTCATCGGACCGACGTCTTGCATTTCCGTCGACATTGTCAGCACGACGTGTTTAGTTCTAATAAGTGTGAATCACATTATCCGGACTCGTGTGTGAGGTGCACTACGCTAACAGACGTATATGTACCGTACCGAAAACGCTGGCCTTGCTTCAGTCTTCGTTTCCCGGGGCTTGGTCCGTTTGCTTAGGGTGGCTGTTGGCATATTATCTCGGCAGAGTACGTCTTTGGATGTCAGAGCGGTTTCTAGGTCTCGCCAATTGGAATCATACAGGAGGTGTACTACTTGAAGAGTGTGCTACTGCAGTCCGTCCGCCAATGACGGCAACATCTGACGGCAATGCATGAGTCTTATTCATCGGACCGTGGTCTGGCATATCCACCGACATCGTCAGCAAGATGTGTTTGGTCCTAATAAGTGTGAATCGCATGATCCGGACTCGTGTGTGAGGTGCACTACGCTAACAGACGTATATGTACCGTACCGAAAACGCTGGCCTTGCTCCAGTCTTCGTTTCCCGAGGCTTGATCCGTTTCCTTAGCGTGGCTGTTGGCATATTATCTCGGCAGAGTATGTCTCTGGATGTCAGAGCGATTTCAAGCCTTGCTCGTTGGAATTGCACAAGAGGTGCACTACTTTAAGAGGGTACTACGACAGTCCCTCTGCACGACATGATGGCAGCATGTCACGGCAACGGAGTAGTCATATTAATTGAACCCAAGTGTTGTAGTTTAAGCGACAATGTCGTCACGATGTGCTTGGTCCTAATAAGTGTGAATCACATTATCCGGACTCGTGTTTGAGATGCACTGCGCTGATAGACGTCAATATACCGTACCGAAAACGGTGGCTTGGCTTCGGTGTTTGGTTCCCGTGGCTTGGTCCGTTT